ATGGTGACCATTTCTGTGGAATAATTTTAAAATCCAACATTAAATAACTATGTTATGGGCCGGTCACGATTTTGATGTAAGGTCATGCTGTGACCTTGACCTTTAATGTAGCAGCCCAAATGTTGCGCGCGACACGTCGTCTTAATATGGTGATCATTTCTGTGAAATAATTTTAAAATCCAACTTTAAATAACAAAGTTATGGGCCGGACACGATTTTGCTGCAAGGTCATGCTGTGACCTTGAACGTCAAGGTAGCGATCCAAACGTTGCTTGCTACACGTCGTCTTAATATAGTGATCATTTCTGTGAAATAGTTTTAAAATCCGACTTCAAATAACAAAGTTATGGGCCGGACAAAGACAAAGGGCAGGTAATCCAGACTAGAACTTAGGGGGAAAATTTGAATTCAATATGGCGGATGATGACCTACTTTAAAATGAAATTGAATATGTTTTGAAAAATGCTACTTGTTAATAATTGGACTTGATGGAAGAAAATACATTATTTTAACAGGTTAGTGTACAAGTTTGATTATATATCTGTTATTTATTTATTTATTTCTCGTTATGCGCTTATGGTCACGAACTTCCGGTGGGCTAGGATAATATGTCAATTCTACCAAAAAGAGCAAATTAATGTGTCAGAAACACAATGTGTGACATTTATAACATTAAAATCACTTTTCTTTACATTTCGATCGAACCCTTGTACATGTTGGAAATGAAAACGTTACTAAAAATAATATTATTAAAACGAAATGAGATTATGTTTACATTTTTTACGTTTTAGATATTATTCCATGTTTAGCAAACAAATAAAGTGCATGTAAAACATTAGGATAATGGGCGGTGAAAGATTGGTCTACAATGCAACGGTTTGTGTGTAACTGATTGTTTGTAGATAAATCCGGCACTTAACTAACCAATCCTCATGGACTGTAATATAAGTGTTACAAGAAAGCTCACCCACTCATTGTTTAGTGGATTGCACACCAGTCAGGACGTTTCCTAATTTACACACTTCTTAGTAATACATTTGCATAGTTTATACAATCGTGTGATTTAATTGAACTAGTGATAATAATAATGGATTGTAGTGGTATTCATCCTAGCAACAGAAAATAAAATTGACAAATGAAGATTAAGGTAAGGTTTAATGAATATTTTCATTTTTTTGTTGTTCATTTAATTATAAAATTTATATAGTTCCCTGGTCATTTAATTATTGATATTGTTAAATTAAAAAAAAAAGATTTATTCTTCAAACTTTCAAAGTGTTTTCCTCTACCGGAATGCATTTTTGTAATAATTCTGATAAGTTTCGAAAAGTTAAATTCGTTTGGAATCTGCCGCATACACTAAAAAAAACACTGCTAATAGTACACCTGGACAGATATCTTTTACCAGAAACCATTGATTCAATCCTGGTTCACAGAACGAAGTCGCAGGGAAAATAAGGCGGATGGTTTACAACTTTAACATTTTCAGATGCCAAGAAAGAATTTCTCTTGTGAGAGGAGGCATTGCCGTGTATACGATGCATTCTTGACCATCCTTTGCTTGGACGCGTCTTATTGTAAAACGCCTTCAGTTTTTCAGAACATAATTCTTGTAGAACTGTCACGTAACTTTGAGACCAGATAGACAAAGCACTTAAACGACTTGTTCGTTGGAATTTAAAATAAATCGCATACGACATCTGCTTTGTTCTGACGGTCCTTTTGGCATTACATGTCAGATAGGTTTTGTTTTATCTTTCAGCAACCACCGTTTGTAATCTGCCCTTCTTTGGGGCTATAACATATGCACTCAAGTTCCATCACTACTCAACAATGTAGAAAAAACCCGAGTATTACAGTCTTTTTGTTTTTCAGATGTTTTTTTGGCTATAAGTAATGGGCTGTTTCTTAAGTGGGCAAACGGATTCCAAACAGATAGCTATATCATTTATTGACAATCTTTTACCCTGCTTTATTATATCCTTTAAAGCAGCAAGGTTGCCTTGGCAATCGATGTTGTAGTCCTGCCTGAACTGCAGTCATGTGGGACAATTTCCTTGCTTTTAAAGATTTGACCTACCTAAAGATAGTGCGATTTGAAATAACCTGTGGCCAGTATATGTCACGCATTGCAGCAAAATCAATCCAAATGTAAAAAGGCTTTGAATATCAATTTGTTGTCTTTTGTACAATATGGAATGAAAATGACTACATATATTTTGAATTGAAATATCTCAGTCATTTTACACGTTAATTTCATGAATGAAACCGTTATAATTATTGAGTGCCTTATTCAAGTGAAATGAAACGTTTTATAATATCAAATGCTATAAGGATAAAACTACGGAAACCTATCATTGACATAACTTATTGAAGATTGTTATATATAATCGATGTATTTCAATTTAATTTTAATTCCATGTTAACTTTATGCATAACTATATGACTGCCTCGACAGACGTAGCGATACTCAACAGCCATTAACAATTGCTAAAGGATCCCCAAGCTCGACAAAAAACTAGCTTCAAGGTTATGAAACTTACAAATTTAATTTCAATAATCAAATTTCAGGATTTCAATTGGTCGGTGTACATCTGAGCTGGGTTCCGACCTATCAAATGATTGAGTTTTGAGCTTTGTAAATTTCTTTACGCATGTAACCTTGGACCCAGAATCTGAAGAAATCACTTATTGATTGCTATCTCTTACAACTGACGACCATGCCACATTCCGCGCCGAAATAAACCACCCATCATTCTCTAGACAGTGGACTTGTACCTTTTTGCTAGGGGGCATGTACAATAGTTTGCACTTTTCAGTACCGTCCATTTACAAGTACAATTAACTTTACAGTAGGGATTTTTATTTTTCTGTTTTTGACAGAAAAGAAGCCTTTATAACTCCCATTAATCAAAAAGGTCCTAAGCATCAAACTAAAAAGCTAAGCACCTTATTTCAACAATGGGATAAATACTAAAAACATTATCTTAAGTTCAACTATTAAACATCTTAATTTGAATGTTTCCCGCCAAAACGACATTACAAGATAAGCTTGTTTTTACCATTCAGGTCATTGCAAAAAAACTAAAATCTGGCAAAGATCAGGTGAATGTCATACTTTTAAATTTTGAAAAAACGTTCGGCAAAGTCGCATTCCAACGCCTTTTTATATATCTGAACTTCTGTTAACCTTTATATTTTTAAATAGATAACTACAGTCTTGAGAAACAAAAACCAGTAAGATGTTATAGAGGGATGTTTTCGCGTTCACTAATTGAAAAGCACTTATTGAGGTTCTTTCATGTTCTGGTTATTTTGCTTGATCAACAAGATTGTCCAAGATTTACAATTCATCAGGTTTTGTCTAGGTTTCCAAAAATTTTTAATCCTTATTTGGGACGGCAAAACGATGTTAAAAGCCTCATGGAAATGACCATTTAAAAAAAATTGAAAACCCCCGAATAAACCCAAAGGGGAAATTTTTGCATGTTTCGAGGGGGAATATTTTTTCAAGTAAACAACCCCTTTCTTTTATACTTAAATTTTTCCCTTTTTTAATTTCATTTTTCTTCAATTTTTTAAAAAAAATTTTTCAAAAAAGGGGTTAAAAATTCAGGAAAAAAGTAAAAAAAAATATTTCCCCACCGGGGGACGATTAAAGTTGCCTTCCCTTTTACTTTTTTTTTGGCCTGTCAGTTTTTCGTAGAGTTTCCTGGTTGTTCTCAGTCGTGACATCAGCCAAAGGGTAACTACCTGATTGTTGTGATGCCAATCTGACGCCTTGTTATGTTTATTTGTTTCTTGCTTATGTTTTGCCTCGGGCATGTGTAATGGGCTGCTATGATGTTTTTATTGTCCAAAAAAAATCCCTTCTGTCGTGTAAGGGTCCAGACCAGGTTGCCCGGCATATTCCCAAAGTGGTGCGAACGAACACTAGGGGGAAATTGGGGTTTATCCTTGTACGGTTCGTATGTCGGAGGAAAACAATAGTTATTGAAACAAATTTATGCTCATGGTGACCAGAGAACGGAGGGCTACCAGAGATCTCCTTTATAAACAAAAATCAAAACAAACAATCCTTTTTCCACCAAAAACAATACAGTATTGGAGTTGTTTACCATCAAGTTTCGTGACATCTATTCTACATGCTTCAAATCAGCCCTCTCTGTCCACTGCGTTATGTCCATTGAAAGTGACTGTCTTGGACAAAGATCAGCTTTCATTTCTGTCAAGTATTAGGACGAAGAAGAAGATATACTAACCGACCCAAAGGAAGAAGGTCATATTTGATATATTTGCAAATTTTGACCCGATGGACATTAAATAAGACAGACTACAAGATAATAACACATGCAAAGTTTCATTGCTCTTGGCAAGCTGAATATGCTTGATACCTACACTTTTGGCATTGTATTATTTCAGATTATTTAAATGTTTTCCTAAATAAGGCAATATGTCTTGACAAACGATGAGGCCCAACTTTGACCCAAGGGGAATTATTTTTATGACTTTTTAGTGTACAATTAGTTGATGCGACATGCCAAATTTATATGCTCTTGACATTTATTTATCCGATGAGACGTTTTAAAGTTATGCTTGGTATGTATCTTTAATGTCAGCCTCATAAGAAATATGACTAAAAATTGACCGCTGTCTTGGGGTGGGGTGGGATCAATTAGATTGTACCATAATATATAGAAAAGTAATATTTCAGCCTATAATATATAGAAAAATAATAATTCAGTATAACAATGCAAAGAGCTATGATAAATGATATGTATTATTGTCAAGGGGTAGGACGTAAATCACGTAGCTCGGTGCGTTAAGCGAGAAAAATAAGTTGTCTTTTTCTACTAGTGGCAGTAGTTTACTCGAAAATAGATTTTTATTTGAATATTATGAGGTTTGTTCATTTCCTTGGACTATTTGCAGAAGATATATGAAGATTATCTAGCCATACGTGTTTAATAACTGTACGTAAAAGACGCAAAAATACGTTACAAAAAAGTAATTGAATGGATTCCAATGAAGGTGTCCCGTTTAAAACAATCATTCCAGCTTGATTCCTATTATTTTTATACCCCACCAAACATTGTTGGGGTGGGGATGGGGGAGTCAGTGGGACAATATTGGAATCACTTTGTCTTGTAACGTTCCATCCTGTCGCGTCCCGTATTGCCCCGTCCCATTTTAGAAACCGCTAGAGATATTAACTTAAAACTTGCCACATCAAAGCAATATCACAATATAGTTTTTTTGTCAAGTTTCGTAAATCTGATATTTCGTTTGACAAAATTATGCTCCTTTTTATTATATGATTATCAGAAGGTTCTTAATCAATCAAGTCAACTACTCTGCGACCAAATTGTTCATCAGTCAAAGCAGGTTTTTAATGGATGTAAGTATCTTAAATTGCATATATGTTTCGACATCCTTATCTGAAGTTTGATGGAAAGGGCCTTGTAGATGCAATTGTTAAATACATCAACATAGATTGCAGACGCTACCACGTACAAAACATATAATGATTCTTTAAATGTTATTCATACTTAGAATGTTCGTAACAATTCAATTTACCCTCGTGTATGTCGTCTTTTAGATTATGAATGTCGGAACGAATGAAGCAATATGTATTATTCTGAAAGTCATTCTTGATTTAAAGGTAATTATTGAAGAGATTGAAGTTTAATCAAATCGAAAGTTTAATAGGAAGTTAAATATGAGAACTTTTTGTCGATACTAAATACTAGGATTTGCTAAACCGACGGAAATATCGAAACACAATTAACATCCGGAAAAGAATGTAAGTACCCGAACCGTGTAATTCAAAAGTACTTATTTGTAAAGTATAAACTCAATTGAACAGTATCGGATACATTCTTCCTATAAGTGTGTGTGTGCGCGCGTGTGTGTGCACGCGTACGTGTGTGTGCGTGTGTGTGTATCGATATTTTCATGCACAAGAGTTGACGGGATCGTCAATGTTATTGATGGTCTCGTTTTTCAGAAAAATATAATGAATTTTTTAAAAGTATTAAACAATCTTGGTGGAAAAAAAAAAATCGTTAAAAGAATAAATAGCTGACGCGAACCATTTAAGAAAAAACAACCTTTGGTGGCCGAGCACTATTAAGTTGAGAATTGAGT